CTGCTGCCAATTAGCATCTCTCTGGCTGCAATACTGTAACATTTTTCAGTGTTTCATTCTTCAAGAACAATTCAAGACTTCATGAAAAGAGCCAGATGCTTTTTTCTTTCTGCAGAAGAGCTATAGGCATGGCAACAAACATTCCCTCTCCCTCTGTAGCCACGTTTAGTAAAAACAGAAGCATTTAGAAAGGAAAGACATGGTGTGAACTAACGGACAAGTGTGAAGAAGCGTGAGAGACGGCAGAAAGTCCAAGCACTCTCAGACAACTCATGGGAACGAGGGTGGGCGAATCCTGTTATTTTGGTGACCTCGCCGTTTCTGCTTCCGATGGCTGCAATGAGTACGACAGAGCCAAGCTGCTTCATGTAGCTGATTCATGGGTGACCCGCCATGGGTGAAGGCAAAGGCAATGCCCACAAACAGAGGGAGCAGAAGGCATGGAGAAGTGACAGGAAGACAGCTCGCCAGACACCAGGACCTGTCTGCTGTTCGAAATTCAAACCTGCTGAAAAAGAAACGTTCCTCAGATCCAGGTGTTCCACTTCAGGGTCTGGTAGAATGGATAGTTTTGGACAAAACGGAAAGCAGATGCCCAAATGAAAATCTCATTCCTATGTCTCACTATTCTTGTAGAAAACAGCCAGGGTGCCTCTACGCGCAGATTCGCTCACGGGCCTTCACTTCTGCTAACTCTGTGGAGTACCATGCCTCCACTTACTCAGACCCTGACATTGGAGAACACATGCAACATGTTTTATTACTGAATATCTACTATGCTCATCATGAGTAGATGTTCTGGTTTCTTTATTTCCTTTTACAGTCTTCTACCAATGCTTACTTCTACCTCTTTGGTGCCTGTTTCCATAACCCCCTCACTAGCTACCGCAACTGCAGAGGTTTCCAGGCGGAAACCTGACTATTTCTAGGTCACCTGAACTGTGCAACTAAAGAAACAGTGACTTTTGAAGGGAATAATTACCTTGTTTTTTAGGTGTGTAACAAGACCGTTACCATGATACTTATCCCAAAAATCTCCAGTCCAACACTTTCCCCTCCATTTACTGAAAAGTCTCTGAGGCACCTTCTTACGTCACTGAACTCCAACAGAAAGTTATTTTTCATGATTTTAATGAGTGGTGTTGGCCATTCAGACCAGGATCCAAAAGTCTGCAGTTTCTCCACAGGGTACTTGAATGTTCCTGCTAAGGGAATGGCATGCTCTTATGCCTCCAATCAACTAGGACGACTGCAGGTCGCACGTGGAATTATCTATCCCAAGGCAAGAAACTGAATATTCCCCTTTGTTAAAGCTGGATCAGGTTTCATATAGCTTCTCTGAGGAATTTCTACACTTCAGGTTCATATCTAATCCCTTCTGAGAAGATGGACCTGCAGAGCTAAGCACAACCGCCTTGATAAAAGGCAGAATTCACCAGACTACACCACGATGTTCTAGAGGTAAAAATGTGTTTATTTTTATAAAGTCCTAGGGTAATTTTCATGCTTAATGATAACAGGCTGAGCCAATTTGCCTAAGACTTGACAGTCAGCTCCAATAATTCAACCTTAATTAAAGCTGAACGCATGTCAGTTCAGCTCTTTCCTTCACAGGAAATCTGACATTTACAATGATTCATGTTTCAGCCATGCTATGGGAAGGCTGGATCACATCTGCCATTCCCCACCATGCAGAGCGCTACTCCTTTTCAGTATGCCAACTTTGTTTATTTTCTAACCAAATACGTTGGACTTCTTCCATTGAGCGGTTTTCTTAAATGAAAAGACAGTGGAACATGCCTTGATTTCACTGGGATGAATGACAAGTGAGTGTGGAAGAGATGGAAGAAAGGACTAAAACTACCCCAACAAGAAAAATAAAAACAACCTAAGATTAGTAATTCTTGCTTTCTTGAAAAACATTGTTTTTTGCAGTATTGCAGAACACCAGCCTTCCTGTGTCTTGTGCTACAATGCCATTCCAGTTTAACCTGCCGAGGATGAAGACTTTAAAAAAGACAGAGAGCTTTAGCTTCCGCTCTTGGAACTTTGCGTACAATCGTCTCAAACATACAATAATGTCAAACAGGACGTGAAGTTCAAAGGAAACCCCAAAGTCCACTGCAAATAAATTTGCTGCAAAAGGTATGTTTCAGAAGGAGTTATCTGAACCTCGAAGACCATCAGCGTGGACCCAGTACGAAATGTCACTGGTTTTAAAATCCATGACTGGAATAAACAAACATGGCCCAATCCATGGCTGCACAGGGCGACAGGCTTGTCAGCATGCAAGTACACAGCACTGCAGGCTAACTACAATATGGAAAGTCCCAGACACAAATTAAACCTTTCTGCTACAGGAATTTGCTTTCAA